CCTATAATCCCAGCACTTTGGGAGGCCAAGGTGAGAGGACTGCCTGAGCCCACGGGTTCTAGACCAGCCTGGATAACTTGGTGAGACCCCATCTCTACAGTAAATCAAAAAATTAGCCGGGCATGGTGGCGTGTGCCTGTAGTTCCAGCCACTTAGAAGACTGAGGCAGAAGGATCACCTGAGCCCAGCAGGTCGAGGCTGCGGTGGCCGGGAGTACCACTGCACTACACTGCACTACAGCCTGGGTGACAGAGTTAGACTCCTACTCAAAAAAAAAGGGGGAGGAGCATTACTGTACCTACTCCGATTTTATTCTTGGGTTCAGTGAGAACATCAGCAGGATGTATACCTCAATCATTTAAATCTAACCATCAATCTAGACTGAAGGACACTGTACCAAATACTCCCATTAAACTCATCTCAGTATTCACTTAGAGATGTGACCAAAGAGAAGGTTTTCTAGAGTAATTATTTCTTTATAATTCAACAGTAAATGTCCTGAGGTCTCTATACTGGGAAAATCTAGACTAATCCTGAGCCCTGAATTGTTTTGATCCTATAGACTACAGAACTGATTGTGTGTTGCCCTCTTTTCTTTGCTGCTAGGAAGCTCAGGAACAAACAATTCAGTTTCTTTGGCGCACATCTGTGTTCTGTTTATACCATAGTATTAATAGTTTTCTTTTCCTTCAATTTTTCATTTACTTATTTTTTAAATCTTATTTTAAAGGTAAATACTCGGCCAGGTGCAGTGGCTCACACCTTCAATCCCAGCACTTTGGGAGGCAGAGGCAAGAGGATTACCTAAGCCTAGGGGTTCAAGACCAGCCTGGGCAACTTGGTGAGACCTCCTCTCTACAATTAAAAAAAAATGACCAATAGACAGGTGCAGTGGCTCATGCCTATAATCCCAGCACTTTGGAAAGTTGAGGTAAGAGGATTGCCTAAGTTCACGGGTTTGAAATCAGTCCAGGTACTTGGCAAGACCTCATCTCTACAATAAATCAAAAAGTTAGCTGGGCATGGTTATACATGCCAGTAGTTTCAGCTACTTGGAAGGATGAGGCAGAAAGATCACCTCAGCCCAGTAGGTTGAGGCTGCAAGCACGCCACTGTACTCCAGTCTGGGCAACAGAGTGAGATTCCAACTCCAAAAAAGAAAATCAGAGGGGCATGATGGCACATGCCTGTAGTTCCACCTACACGGAAGGCTGAGGTGGAAGAATCACCTGAGCCCAGCAGGTCGGGGTTGTGGTGGCTATGAGTGTGCCACTGAACAGCCTGGGCAACAGAGAGAGACTCCAACTTAAAAAAAAAAAATTAGCAGGGCATGGTGGCACACGCCTATAGTTCCAGCTACATGGAAGGCTGAGGGAAAAGGATTGCCTGAGTCCAGCCAGTCGAGGCTAGGGTGACCATGAGCATGCCACTGCACTCCAGCCTGAATGACAAAATGAGACTCTGACTCAAAAAAAAAAAAAAGATTCAAGAGATGAATACAGGTATTTGGGAAGACAATTTGAAGAATCTATCAAAATGTTAAACGCATATGTCCTATGACTCAAAATTCTCCTTCTAGAAAATATATCCTGGCCGGGTACAGTACCTCATGAATATGATCCCAGCACTTTAGGAGGCCGAGGTGAAAGAATTGCATGGGTTCAAGACAAGCCTGGGCAACTTGGCGAGACCTCATCTCTACAATAAATCAAAAAATTTGCCAGGCGTGTGGCACATGCCTGTAGTTCCAGCTACTTGGTAGGCTGAGGTAGTAGGATCACCTGAGCCCAGCAGGTCGAGGTTGCGGTGGCCATAAGCGAGCCCCACTACACTCCAGTCT